GTCAGTATTCGCAAGAACATGATCAGAAGCCAAGTTTAGATGGATGTTATTTGATTATACCATGTTTATTGATTTAACACGATAAACCAGAAGTTCTGAGTTACAAACTAGATTAGGGTTGAACTTGTCAGTAAGTAACGGGATGTTTTTAATGAGGAAGTATAACAAGTAGTTGAAACAATAATTGTTTTGTTAAAACGTTTTTTGTTCCATGTTTTCAACAAGCAAACGCTCAAGTGTTTGTGAGTAAAAATCACATCACAAAGAATTAGTTTTTTTTTTAAATTTACCTTTTTACAATCAAAGTGTTTATTTATTGTCATTATTCAGCAATGGAAGTTAAAATAAAAGCATGTGTATGGTTTGCTTGGTTATTTTTTTTAAAGGTATGTTTTAAATTCGAGTTATAGGACCTTGTTCGAGTTATCTTCCCTGATCCATATCTAAACTTGTAGATGATGTAATGCGGCTTCGATATGTCCGACAACCAGAACCCTTCGCCACCTTGTCATCTCCCACACCCCTACGATAACTTACAACTTATCTAAAAGCTACCACACCCCTACAACTTATCACACCCACGTCTCACAACCCATCAACGACTTACCACACAACACACCCCTACACCAACTTACCACTTTCCTACCACACCCACTACCCTACAACGTACCACACCCCACACCTCTACAACATTTTACCATGTCCCACACCCCTACACCAACTTACCACTTTCCTACCACACCCACTACCCTACAACGTACCACACCCCACACCTCTACAACATTTTACCACGTCCCACACCCCTACACCAACTTACCACTTTCCTACCACACCCACTACCCTACAACGTACCACACCCCACACCTCTACAACATTTTACCACGTCCCACACCCCTACACCAACTTACCACTTTTCTACCACACCCACTACCCTACAACGTACCACACCCCACACCTCTACAACATTTTACCACGTCCCACACCCCTACAACAACTTACCACACCCACACCCCACACCTCTTCACCAACTTACCACACCCCACATCCCTACACCAACTTACCACACACCACACCCCTACACCAACTTACCACACCCCCACACCCCAACACCAACTTACCACATCTCAAAACCCCACATTTTATTTCCGCAAAATGAGACATCTCTATCAGCTAACATATTTATATATAAATTCGTAATCTACCCCGTCTCCAGGTTATATAACCGGCTAATTTTTCAAAATGACCCCCGTCCCCCACCCCCTTCCCCTCCCACCCCGCTTGATGCAACCATCAGCAGACCCCGGAACCTGGATAAGGAAACAGCGCGGTACCAGACACGAAGGCCAGGTTAATTTCAGAAAGAGGGGGGTGAAAAGAGAAGGGGGGAAACGCGCTTCTCTGTCGAATAATTGTTGAGCGAAACATTTTTTTTTTCCTGGAATATTTTTGCGTGTGACCAAAATGGCCGCTCAGTCACGTGCGGATGTTTACAGCGAGTGTGGATATTTCTGCGGCAATCTGGGTTAATGGTCGGCGTTTTGCTTGGAGGTAATGAGGCGTTCTTTAGGGACTTGACTTCCATTGAGGGTGTCGGGATTACGCGGGAGAGTGCACCGAAACGCTTGGGGTGTATAGGGACCAGTCGAGTGGTATTTACTTAGCTGTGATAATAAATCTGTGTTATGGGAGGTTGATCAAGTGCTTGTGTAGAGAGAGTTTTTTTTTCTAAATGAAATATAACGATAATGTATTGAGCTATAGAGTAGATTATTACATTTCCGTGTACGGCAAATATGATTTTTTAAATTTACTTATTTTGCTTTATAGAGTTATAGTAAGGTATCGATTTATTAGAAGTCATCGGTTTTTTTTTGTTTTTTTAACTTGCAAATAATGAAATCAATTGCATAATTTACTCTAAATTTAAGTATTACAAAATTTTGAGATTTTTAATCACTTTTTGAGACTGTCTTAAAATATTGTATCTATTTGCTTTATCTATTTTTTTTCGAGCTTTGAATTATAAGCATGCAATTTTATACCATAAAATACTTATTTTCTCCTTCGTTAGCAATAATTGTTAGCTTGTTTAAAAAGTTGTATCTAGTTTGCTTGAAGACAAGACATGTTACTGTAAAACCTCTCCCAGTTTTTACATTAATTATATTTTTTAAATTAAAATTTTACATTGATTAAATCATCAGCCGTTTTTTTTAAACTCTGGAATGAAAATAGATTTGAACTAGCTGTCCTGAAGGTTTGGAGATTCCTTAAATCATGTCCCTTATGTGTCGCAAGGGACATGATTTTTCGATGAAGACATAGCGTTCATTTTTTTTTCTTTTAATTTATGGTTTACGTTTTTTAAATGTGAATGTAATTACGGTTTTAAGCTTGTCTGGCAATTTTTCCTTTAAATTTTTTTTTCCAGTTTGTAGAAAAAAGCTATTCGTCATTTAATGAGTTATAGAACTTATCACCCAAAAATATAAACAATTATAATCATTTTAGTTCAATGCTTTTCAACAATTATAACAATTTTAGGTCAATTCTTATCAACAATTATAACCATTTTATTTCAAGGCTTATCAACAATTATAAACAATTTTAGTTCAATACCTTTCAACAATGCTATAATTACATTTTTTTTCGTAGAGAAATTTCACCTGATAAGTTTGTATTTTTTTACTAAGAATAACAAAATGCAAAAAAAAACAAGTTAATTAAAAAAGTCTAGTGACATTTGTGCGCAATTTCCTTATGTTATCTAAAAATAGCTCTGACGTATAATGTTGGGGTGCGTTCAAGCTAGAAGAACAATCGGTTTGTAGGTGTTTATGTAATTTTAAAATTTGTGACCGAACGAGAGAATATTTTTGAAAACTTTCTTCGGCAATATTGTTCTAAATTATGACAGGAATCGATTGGTACATGTTTCAAGTCGCTAAGTGGTCTGGTTGCCGAGATATGGGCCAAAAACGGAATTTTTTCGAGGTTTTTTGGCTTTTCCGGGAAATACATGAAAGAAACCCGGAATTTTTATGGCCTATGCTCATTCTCGTAACTTACTTAACATAATTGCTTTTGGAACTATTCATCGATATTGCTTCGTTGAGGAGGAGATACGACTTAAAGCCCGGACACACATTCATCCATCCATCCATCCATTCCCAGAAATGACGAGTTAATAAACGCAATTCTCCAGAATGGAAATTGCGCTAAAAATACTAAACGAACTCAAATTTTGGGTTTTACTGTACAGTGGTGCATATTAGACAGGATACCCCTTTAAACCTGACTGTCGATGGGGCAAGTGGTGTAGTAGAGTTAACCTGTTTCCGTGATCTCGGCATATGAAGGGATATTGTTTTCACTTCTTAGCCCAACCATCTTACTTTCCATTACGTGAGTCAAGTACCCGTCTTACCGTCTTGAACTTGGGATCCGAACTCGAGACAATCGAATTAGCAGTCATAAGCTCTGTCACCTGACCACGTAGTTCCAAATAATAGACTGAGGAGAAAACAAATCCAAGTATAAATTAAAGCAAGAGGGTGGTATTCGTTAGTACGTTTGGAGAAATATTTTGTTTTTTCTTCGAAGTTTCTTTTTATAATCCTTTAAAATTTTCTTTCATCATATTTTCCCGTTCGTGCCCAAGACGCATGGGTCTCTTTAATCATCAATATTATTGGTACTTACCGTTTTATATTTATAGTAAATACGTGTAAAAATTTAAATAATTAACCTTCGCGTCGTCTCACCTGTTCATCACATAACATGTTATACGATGTTTGGTATTACCTGTACATTCGTTTCATGGAACAGCATGGCCTAGCGGTAGCACGTTAGATTCGAGTTCGAATCTGGATTCAAGTCAGTAGAACGTCCATGAGTCCACCCAACTCTGAAGGGAACCTGATTCACGGTAAGGAAACAAAGGCGGCTGGGCATAGTGCTGACCAAATCATCCCTTTCTATGCCAAGGGCATTGAAACAGATGAACTCTACTTCGTCTGCCTGATGTGTCATGGGAAGAGATGATGACATTCTTTCCATGCTAGGCTATGCCACGTGTTTTTACAATTATATTTTATTTTTCTGTTTTACTTTAAATGTGATATTATAAATCCTACGTACGTGCTTCTACAGTTTTAAGCAGATGTTACCATCGGGTGTGTGGGGGGGGGGGGGGGGGGGGGAGTGGGGGGGGGGGTTAGTGGCGGGGCATTGTTAGAGTAACAAGCTCATGATGGAGTTGTTAGGAATGCCCTTGTGGTCGGCATAAGTACTGACACAGGCTGGGGGGGGGGGGAGAGGCTAAGGGTACACAGCTGTTTCGGTATGGTAATTGTTTTGTTAAGGGGGGACAGAGAACTGAATATGCTTAGCTAAAAATAGAAGCTGGTCTAGTTGTTTAAATGTCATAGTTACCACCATTCTCTTACACCAAAGTCCACAAAAATAGAGACCTCAGTTCAAATACGGCTGTGATACCATTAAACTAGGTTCTAAATATCCAAGTAATTCCATATCACAGGTTATGTCCTATTTATATATAATATCCTGATATGATTGTGTGTTTATTTTTCCAGAAATAAACGATTATCTTGTACTCTAAATGATATCATTTAATGCTAGTCTAAATGCCATGCCAACAAATTCCTTATCACAAATTATTTCCGCTGTTTCATTGTTTTATTTAATATCCTGATATTATTTTAGTTATGGTATCTTTATCGTTTTTTTTTTCAGAAATATACGGTTGTCCTGTACTTCATTTTACGTTTCTATATTTTTCATAATTATTTCGCTATTTTATTTATTTTCAGAAACAAACGCTCGTTGTGTACTTCATAAGCCAAAGACAATCAATTAGAAACCAGTAGTTCTATACTCTCAAATATTGACAATCTGGGCGTGTCTTGTGTTTTACTGCCTGTGTCAATATCCTCAAATTAAAAACCAATGAGATATGTCACAAAATGAGTCATGTCAAATATCCTGTCACTGACATTCGTGTGTCAATCGAGAGAGAAAACTAGAGTCTGGAATCTCAGAATTTGTAACCAAGACATTCCGAGAGAAATACAACATGGATTATAGACTCAGTGATTGACGCCTGGTGTCAGTCGTATGTCGCCTTTTGGAACCAGAATAGAAATATTGTAATAAGTTCCAGGAGTGGAAATATTGAGATAAAAAACAAGGACTCTAAGTATTGTGTCGAGGGGTGAGAATAGAAATATTGTGACAAATTAACAAGAAGCGAAATATTGTGACGCGTTCTTAAAAACAATGGAAAATATGTGATAATTACTTAGAATGGAAATATTGTGACTAACATCAAAAGACGGAAATATTGTGACAAACACCAAAAGACGGAAATATTGCGACAAATATAAAAAATGGAAATACTGTGATATACAGAAAATGGAAATACTGTGACAAGAGAGATAACGCAATGGTGAGTACTTTTTTCAACATTAAAAATGTATCCCCCCTCTCTCTCTCTCTGTCTTTCTCTCTTTCTCTTTCATGTTGCATCATCCCACTGCAACAGGTTTAATTTTAAATTCTCAATACACTACCAGAAATATGATGTCAATTTTTTAAAAAAAATGTTTTTGGCTTCATTTTAAAGTCAGCTATACTTTTTAATTATGTTTCTGGTAAATAAAACCTTTCGATTGGCTGAAGTAAGCTTTAAGACGTTATGTCACCTTGGAATGTGTGTGTGCGTTTACACCCCCAACCCCTCGTTCCTTCCTTCCCGAAACCCCCCCCCCCCCCACCCCTCTCCTCCATAAACTCTCCTAGTTCTGAGTTATTGCTAGCTTAGTTTTCAATCATATTCCTTATTCGCGTGGACCAGACCCCTTTTCAATTAATAGCCAAGTGTAACATAGATTAGCAGAGTATAGACCAGACTATCCCATGTATTACCTTTCTCTGAGTACGTTATCTGTACTTCTGTGCCGTTACAATGTTCCACAGCTTATACAAGATTTTTACCCGACACAAATTTCTTTGGTACGAGCTGACTACGGTAATGAACCGTATATCAGTCGGGTATTTGAAATGTATGTCTATGACACAACTGTTGAGATTTTCGGTAATGCTGTGTGAAGTCAATGACCCACGTTTCAATTTAGGTTTCCTGACACCCCCCTCCCCCCTCCCACCAAGACAATTCTGAGAGCATTAATTCAAGACTTGGCGTCGGACGCAAAAAATAAAAAAAAATAAAAAATAAATAAATAAATAAATAAATTTCCCGGTCGAAGATGGCTTTTTGAGGTCTTCAGAATCGAATCTGTTGGACGCAGAAATGTCAAGGTCATGTATACTTTAGATTGACCTTCGCGTTCTGTCGACCTGGACAGGGAGCTGTAACGTAAAAAAATTTAGTCCCGGGCTCAAGGGGTGAGTGTGGTGGTCCCCCCCACCCCCCAACCATCGATCCAACAGGGCCGAATTTCTTGTTCTCGTTTATCTCCCTGCTAAATGGATGCGAATGGCTTGGTGTACTCCTACAGTAGGATCCATATCAGCAAGTGTAATCAGTACAGTGTGCGTGCGTGCGCATTCCTTATTGGCTATAACCAAATTAACCCGACTATTCATCAAGTCGTTCCTCATCAATTCTATCCCTCACCCCAATATCTCGGCCTTACACAAAGGCCGAGAAACTGGGCACCACATGATTCACTGGCCACCAGATTATTAACTGGCCACCAGATTATTAACTGGCCACCACATTATTAAATGGCCAAGCAATCATAAACTGAGGTACCTTTTGTATTCGCCGAATCCATTTCTTTATCGCAGTCATCTACTCTAGTCGTAATTTTGCTCGAAATCAACAAGCTCCCAAACTGTAATCTTAACCTCAGCTCCTACCTCAGCACCTACCTCAGCACCTACCTCACCACCTACCTCACCACCTACCTCACCACCTACCTCACCACCTACCTCACCACCTACCTCACCACCTACCTCATCACCTACCTCACCACCTACCTCATCACCTACCTCACCACCTACCTCATCACCTACCTCACCACCTACCTCATCACCTACCTCACCACCTACCTCAGCACCTACCTCATCACCTACCTCATCACCTACCTCAGCACCTACCTCTACAGTTACCAAATCTTAAATACAACTCTTAGGCCCAACTAACGAAGTTTACTTGAAATACAAGGACTGGAATTTAAATATGACAATACATAGGATAGGTTCTTCGATAGTCTTGACGCCTTCAAATAACGGCACAACCTATCTACACCAACATATGCAACTTCTAAGGATAAATACGCAGGTTTTCAACTGTTTGATACAAACCATAAAAACATAATCGTGCAGCTTTAAAACGTTGATCCTTCAATTACCGAGGGAAGAAATACACCTGTTTTAATTCACTACATCTTGGTAAATGTAAAGGTAAAGATATTCACCCCAGAGGCGTAGCTACCCCTCCCGGCGCCCGGGGACAAACTTTCAATTTGACACACACCCACCTTTATATATTTTTTTAATATTTATAATTCAAAACTGCAGCTAAAATGAGCTTTAATTTTTTTCCTACCCATTTTGGCGACACAATGGTCGGCGCCCGGTGACATATGTACCCCCTACCCCCGTCCCCACCCCCACCCACGTCGCTACGCCTCTGGGTAGAATGTGGTAGAATGTACAACTGTTGACCCGAAAGTCTCGAGCCCGGAGGATGTCCTGTGTCCACATTACTCCGATGAACCGATGAAATTACGATAATTAAGGAAAACAGATGCAACTGGGCCTCGTGCTGACTACACTCACAACACTTCCCCCCCCCCCCCCCCCCCTTCCACCTTTGTCGGGATTTGTCAAATTTGCTCGTAAAAAGACTATTTAACACTCGAATTAATCACTTAATTAATTGGAATTATCATTTTTCTCTATATATTTTGCTATTTTTTTGCCTTGGTGTTACCCCCCCCCCCTAAATGGGGTTACCCGGTGCGCTTCACACCCACGCCTTACCCCCCCCCCCCCTCCCATCGCTACGCTGTGTCATGTCACGCCATTAACTGACATTCCCTGTTGAGTGCCATCAACGGTGTCACTCCTCAAACGCCTATTGTGTCTCGCCGTACGTTTTTTTTGTGTTTGTTAGTTTAGCACTTCAGCACGAACTCATGTCTGTTGTTTGCGATGTCACTAATGATACTCTTCAAACAGTAAAGACCAGAGATGCTGTTTCATGAATCAACACGATGATATTATAAACAGAGAACATCGCAGTACGGGTTTATTCCTTTTAGATACGTCAGTGTCGACAGTAATATGCCATCTGTGTGGTTTATTTTTCTGCATTTTCTCTTGATGAACTCAGACTTCAACTTCCAGCGATCTATAAATGGCCAGCTAACATCAGTAGAATCAAGATCAATGTACAAGGATAATTTGCATATTATAATGCGAGAGGTCAACGCTTGTGGTTGGGACCATTTTGTTTTGTTTACCAACAGTGATCAGCATGTTATGCCGTTTTTGATGAATTTGCCGCCAAATAGACGTCTGGTACATTACGAGTTGCCAGATAAGTTCGACAATTCTGAGAAGCTAAAGAGATTTCTATGGGACGCCTACAGCCAAAAACAGAGCAGAAATTTTATTTTTGTGTCCGTAGCTCCGTCCGTGATTTTAGACAGTGCTCAGCAAGTGTTTGAAGAGAAACATCGAGATGTGGGCGCTTTGATGGCACATGATGCCAGATTTCTTATCGTTTTAAATTCAAACCACATTCTATCGTTACGTGAATCAGTCCAAAACACTACACTGGATAATATTGCCGTTTTTGTTTTGGAGGAATCAATGTTTAATATTGCTGTTAAAGATGTGTTTACTTTAATGTGGAGACAACATAGGCGGAGGGAACTAGAGAAGCTGAACATGGATGGTGAGGTCCAGACACCCGCAACTTGTAGAATATTCCCGAACACTAAGTTTGGGCTAAATGGTCGGACCATTCTAATCCTGGCCAAAGAGTGGCTATCCCACCTGTATACAGTGACCGACCCCACCTCTGGACGATTGACCTACACCGGCTTGTACGTGCAGGTGATTGAAGTGTTGGCCGAGATGCTCAACTTCACCGTCCAGTTCACGCCTGACCCGGGGTTAGACAAGAACATGACTTGGGAGAAATTCACCGAAATCGTCGGGGGGTCAGAGGTCGATATGGGCGCTAGCACCTACATAATCAGCTCCCAAATCTATTACAACCACACGGTTTCATTCCCCCTCATTAGCAGCAACTTCAGCGCCGCGTACATGAACTCGGCCAAACCGGACATAAGCTCTCCACTCAAACTGTTCCAGGTCAACGTTTACGCTTCACTGCTTTTGGCGCTCGTCTTCACAATGACGTTATACCTTCTGATTCTGAAGGTGTCGCCGGAGGTAAAAGATAATTCAGACACCATGTCCTTGAGGAGATCTATATACCGGCACCAAATGCCCAGCACACAACCTGAGTTACGTAGCGTATCAACACAAACTCTATCCACTGGGTTAAGTACTATTTGCCCTGAACAAACCACTGGGGTAGACTGTACTAATATTAAATCTAATGTCCATAGCTGTGGTGTTTTATGTACATCAGATCAAGTTTCACCTCAAACGAGTTACGTCTGTGAAAAGAACGAGACAAATGACACGAATAAGTTTACTGAAGGCAGTCTCAAAGAAACACGAAAAACATTGAAAACTTCAAAATATAGCTTGACTATGTGCAGAAATGGGAATTCCATAGAACTCCTTGTTGCTTTATTTTTTACTTTCGTTGGTACAATATTCTCACAAGATAGTCTGCCTATCCCATCGAACCAATCAGCACGCATCTTACTCTTTTCTTGGTGTCTGATGCTTCTTATTTTAACTGCCACCTTCACCGGTAATATAACAGCGGATCTAGTCGACCAAGAAAAAGAAATCCCATTCTCTACTTTAGAAGAGCTGATAGCAAGGGAAGATTATAAATGGGGTATTTTCAATGGAACTTCTTTTTTAAACGTCATGAAAAATGCTAAAAACGGTTCGCTGTTGAAGGTTCTTTATGATAAAATGGAACAGTTTGCATTAACGGACCCGAGCGTCATGGGAACAATCGAAGACCAGATTCACAAGTTGAAAACCGAGAAATTCGTTATGTTTTTCTTTACCAGCAACCGTGAATATTTAAACGAGCACTTGACTGACCCTACCTCGCTTGTGTTTCTCAAAGATAATATTATGACCATTTATCTTGGTTTTATTTTCCCAAAGAAGTCAAAACTTGCGCAGGTGATCTCAGAGAAGATAATGCTAATGACCGACATGGGTCTTTTGGAGGTCTTGATGCAGAAGAACTTGAAATCCCGAAGTACAAACGCTACAAACAGTGACGCAGACTTGTCTTTGAATGTTGAATACATG